GCCCCGAAGCCGGTCTTTGCGAGACGGGCGAGGAGGGGAAGGCTCAGTAGGAATTGCTCCCAGAAGGAAGCCGCTTGGGGTTCCTCTGACTGGGGCCCATAGCAGCCGCCCCTCGGGCTCAGAGAGATTGGGCCTCCACAGCCGCGCAGGGGGGCTTCCTCCCCTCTCAGCCGCTCCTGCCTCAGCCCGGCATCCTGGGGCTACAAGAACCAGACGCTCATCAGAGGCTCCTGGAGCAGAATGAGGAAACACCAAGGAGGCAGACAGCAGGCCAGGCACGCTCCGGAAAGGCTGATTCCCAGTCTCCAGGGAGAAGTAACCCCAGCCATGTCTCTGGACTCCGCCCCCTGCCCCGCCCCCGCCCCGCCCCCGCCCCCACCAGCCACAGTGAGGCTGTTCTTCTGGCTCTAAAGGTGCTGAAGTTTTTGGTTCTGTGGCTTCCTGGCTTAACTCCATGTGGGTGATGGCTGCCTGCCAGGTGCTCTGGGGGCCAAGGTCTGGGCCATTCATCTGACAGGAGATATTTCTCTGTGGCAAGGATACCCCTCGGGCCAGCCCACCATCCATCAGCCCCCAGAGAGGGGGCTTTTTCCAGTCAGCAGTTATTGTCATCCCAGCTGCTGCTCATAAATTTTCCGCAGCACTTTCCGCTGGCTCAGGAACCGCCTGCCAATGGGCCCACGCAGAGCTCCAAGGATGGGGGGTTGGGGAAACAGCCAAGGAGGGGTGCTGAGAAGGGGCTCAATCTGGAAAGCAAGAGTCTTGGGAAAACAGAAGCGCACACAGTGCAGGCCCATCTAGGGCATCAAGGCAAGCTTTGCGGAGAGTCACAGGGCTATGGGTGCCATGAACAGAGAAGGACATATGATCCTACCTGCCAGACTGTCAGAACAAGTGAGACTGTGGAAGGGGACGGCGTTTGCAGAGAACTTTCCTTCCAGCTCACACTTAAAGGATGTATCCGCACACACATACACACACCTCCCTTTCACAAAGAAGATCTGGTTTTTCCAAAACTCCCTCCACTGGCTAATCCAGGCAGAGCCAAGGAGTGCTCTCCCAGGGAAAGAAACTAAAGAAAGCTGCGCAAAGACAGCAGCAACGTTCATTCATTCAACAAATACTCCCCGAGCGCCTGCTATGTGCAGTGACTGTCCTGGGTGCTGCGCGTGGCACAGGGATGAGCCAGATGCCATTGCCCACAGAGCTCCTCCTCCATCCGGAGAGAGAACTCCCAGGCAGCAGCCCTACAGGAGGAAGAGCAAGCGGGCTTTGCCCTACAGGATGACTCTGGTTAACGGGGAATGGCCACCTGCAGGACTGTGCTGAGAAGGACTCTGAGGCCACATCTGGGTCTAGGTTTCCCACTGTAAACGGGGGTAATAGTAACACCACTTCACAAAGTTTATGCGATTCGAAGAGATGATACACACCTAAAGCACGTGGGACGGTGCCTGGCCCAGACTGGGACTCAGTGAAGAGCAGAGCTGAATCCGATCTGCTGGGTCCTTCCGTCCTGTCTGGGCTGCATGTCCCAGATGCCCCTGTGGGCAGTGACCCTCTCGTTGAAGGACTCTGAGTGCCCCTTCTGCACCCAGCACTGCACGTCCTGCTGAGACTGGGGGCTCAGACATCTACTGAGCTCTTGGAGGGGCCGAGGAGGCCTGGCCACACCCAGCAAGTGGGCCTTGATGCAGCGGGGTGGCCCCTTCGCCCTCAGCCACCTTCCTGGAGAGAGGAGGGGACAGCTCGGGTATCGCTCGCCCCTCGGTCAGAGGAACTGAACTTGCAAGCTCTCCACGGGTCCCTACGCTGCAGAACACACCACACTCCTTCTCAGCCGCAAGGCCTCCTGGTCTCTGCTCACTCTAGGATCCTCACAGAAGGCCCTGCTGCCAGTTCCCTAACATTCCTGC